TTTCAATAAACAAAACATTATTTTTGTATTCAACACATCATAGACAAACATAAGCTACCTCAACCGCCATTTTCATCATTGTCAGCAAATGTACCATTGTTTGCCAAAACAGAAAAAAAGAGTGGTAGTAGCAACATTAACCAAGAAAGATGTAAAAAGGATTTTAAAAAGAAGGTATTAAAAAAGTAATAATTGGCAAAAGTGTTTGCTTAAATGTCACAAATGCATGCAATAAAACTAACAGAGTAGTTTCTGGGAAAGTAGTGTTAATCAGAAAATTGATGCAGGTTGTGGTGATGATGATGATGATAAGGGTAGTCGCCCCATCACTCCATCCGGAACAGCAGTCTGACAATGGCAAATTTGTCTGTCGGCAGAGTTAAGCATCCAAAAAAGTAACTTCGGCGGTTGTCAACCTCACCACCACCACAACTAGAACTAGTGCCAAAGATGATGGCCAAGGAAGTCTGTCTGATCTGAGTAAAACCCAGACATTACCGTAGGCTGTGTGTTGTGTTGCGCCTCACTGCCTTCTTGGCTCAGGTCGCTAAAAAAACAAAGTTTTCACTTGTTTTCCGGTAATCTCTTATTTGTTTCCTTAACTGTCATTGCGATATTCATTTATTTAACCTTTGAAACTTTTTTATATTCTTTAAAAAAGATTTTCTCAACATTGCCACTAAATCAACAAAACTAGACAGAGATAAACTGGCTGCAAACACACACGTTGTGTTCACAGCGTGTGTGAAACGATTAAGCAAAACACCAAAATGCACAAAACAAACTAAAAACTTTTTTTCAAAATAGATTTCACCTACACTAGGCAAAAGTTGCTAGAAATGCTGCATGGCCAGCGATCTTATCAGGCGGCGTAAATTTGTCACAAATAAAAAACAAGAAAATTGAAGCTGCAAGCTGCAAACAACTGAAAAACAGTAAAAATTTGCGTAGAAAATGCGTAGGGGCGTATTTTCTGCCTATTAATACAGAAACGATGACGTTCATTGAAAAAAAGGAAGAATAGAAAGAGAAAATGTGGCGTTTTAATGAGACTGGAAACAAAACGAAAAGTCAGAGAGTTTTTGATGTTCAGTAGATTAATCGTTGACAGAATGGCAGCAGTGTCAAGGATAAAATCAAGTCAGGCGCTGTTTTGTAGCAACAAGGCATCACCAACTTGTGATCGCATCAACATGACATAAGTACCAACAAAAAAAATGTGCAAGGTTTTATAGAAATTTGAATGTTAACCTTAATACAAAGAAACGAAAAATGCTCAGTAACCTTAATTCAGTTTAATTTAATCAAATTAAAGATTTTTTATGTAAGTCGTTTTTTAGAGCAAAGTCAAATGCATTTATTTTTTGGTTACTTAAAGATAAACTTCTTATAAAAATAAACAAAATAAAAGTTAAACTAAATTAAAAACTGTTTTTTAAATTACACTTTACAGCAGCAAAAAATTATTCAACTGAACAAAACTTTTGTTTTTTAAGTTTACAATAATTTTAGACTCCATTGTTTATTTAATTGCAATGTTGCTCATCAAACAAATGTTTTTGCTTGTTTGATTAAAGGAGCAATACTGTCAAACTAATGATGATGCTGACGGTTCTGTTGAAAGGCGCTGCAATACTTAGAGCACTTGAAGAATTTGCAGGTAATTAAAATAGTATTATAAATATTGCTGTTACAGTCAGCAAAAGAGAACTGTCTGTCTGTCTGACTGACTGACTGACTGTTTGCCCCAACAACATTAGACAGTTCATTGTGGCAGTGGAGGCATTGCATGGCTCGTATTTTTAAGCGCTGTCAGATCAGTTTCAATACACACACACACTGCAGCCTGCTAGTCGTTTTAAAGTACACCAGCCACCACAAAGAAGGCAAAACGAAACGGCAGTACGTGTTGGGCTTTGCTTTGATTGCTACACTTTTCTTCCCTTTGCACAACTTTGCCTGCTCTAATGTCCTCAAAATAGCAACTAATTGCAAAATCAAAGAATGCAAAAAGTGTGTGTGTGTGCAGCATTGGAATTAGAAGACGAAGTAAGTGTAAGCAATGTGCACTGCCTGAACTTATCACACTCACATCTCAGTGACATTTGCCACCACTGACAACAGTAGATGCAGATGCAGATGAAAATGAAGATGCAGATGCAATCATAGGCAATCAGATCAAGCTTTACACAGGCGATGATAGTGATGCTGCAACAGAAGAGCTGCTGCAGCTCACTAAAAGGGTGAATGGCTCGGAAAGGGTTAACAGACAAACACATGTTGCACGAGCTGCAGAATAACCGACTGCAAACAGCGGAGCATGAACAACGGATGCGTACGGGTGTTTGAAAAGCCACTATGCCATCTGACAGGTGCATTGCAGTTAGGCACAGTCATCAGAGAAAAAAAGTTTGCTGGTGCTGTCAGCACTTGTTCTCTCCTTCCAGCTCATTTGAATTGGTGTGCAATCAGTTTATTGTTTTTAATGCAGAATATAACTTACATGTTTTAAACTTGCCTAACAATACAAATCGTCAAAGTGGTCAATTTAATGTACATAAAAATATTTTAATTTTAAGGTAAATAGTTGAAAAGTCGGCTTTATTTGCTTATCACCCTTTTTAGTAGGCGTCATTGTCAACTTTAAATCATTAATTTTCCTACTATTTTTCGTCTGGGCACATTTGTCATTTAGTACACTGCGCTCTGTTTCACTTTACCGGCCCGTTTCACCAGTTTTTCCGACCTGCTGCGCCGACTGCCGACTAGTACCACTCTGAGGTGCTCGTTGCTTTTGTCATTGACAGGGGCGGCAAAAGTGCGTGAAAGCACAGTGTGTTGCATAGAAGCACAAACGTCTTGCCTCTTTTTTCACTCTTCTCCTTCACTCTCTTAAACAGTACCGACAGTAGTAGTCTGTGACAGAGAACCTTGTCGCTCCGTGTGCAATGACATTTTTTTGTCCCAATTTGGAGTTTTTAAAGTGCCCGAAATAGACGTCGGCAAAAAAGTAGCAATCACACTGGTTGGCAAACTGAGGCACCAACATCAGTCACAGTGGTAGTTCGTGTGTGTGTGTGCGACTTTACTTTTTTTTTGTTTTACGCAAAGTGAGCGTCATCAGCAAAGTATTTCACGCAAGCCATCGCGGTGGTGTTTTATATTGGCGGCGGTGGTGGCACTCGTTAGCATCACACCAACTGCTTTACAATTTGTGATTCTCCCACACACACACACATAAGCAGACTGATATCTTTTTTTGTTTCTTTTCTTCCCCTGCAAGAGAAAAAAGTGCTTACAGAAACGAGAATTCAATAATAAAATGCATTCTCTCGCATTTTGCACTAATAATTTAGTAACTTTTTTACTTGTTTAGAACACTAGTTGACTGCCTTGCGCTGTAAGCTCACTGAGCCGCATCACCGCCAAACGAAAAACGCTGAAAGCGGGCAATGGCAACTGCTGAGCAAAGAATAGATTTTGGGTGCGCAGTATGTGTGAGCGTGCGAGTCTTTTGAGCTCACTTCACTGTAAAACGTGGCGTGATTGAAAAATTAAGTCAATTTTTAACTGTGAAAAAATACACTTATATTTTTATTTTTGTCTGTCGCTGTTTGGCAGTGGAAAGTGTGCAGTCAGAAAAATGACAAGCACTTGCTTGGCTGCAATTTTGTGACAAAACAGTATTTTTTATTTGGTAGAAACAGCGACAGTCAAGTAGTTAGATATTTTTGTACTATTAAACAAATGAACATTTTGTGTTTAGTTTATTTACAATTTTGTTTTAAAAATCTTAACAATTTACCTTTTTTATATGCATTATCTAAATTTTTGAGATTGCATTTTATTAGTTTGCACTTTTTGTCAAAGTGTACAAAGTTTTAACCAATTTTCCTAACATAAACCCTGACAATTGCACGACAGTAGTACCAGCCATTATTATTACACTAAACAAAATTTCACAATGAAACTGCTTGGGTTTGCTTTTTGTCCGAACCTGATCTTAGTTCATTGCTGCCGTTCAGAGGATTAATACTGCACAATGAGTGTTCATCATGCTGTTGCAGTTTCTAGTAGCGAGCAACAGCTAGCGTGAAGGCAAAAAATTCTAAAAATGTACGGCTCAGTGTGTTGGGTGTGTGCACTCGAAGTTGGTGATGGCGGTGGGCGCACTCGCACATTCACATACACACAATCGCAATGTCTGCAATCACTGGCAAGTGAAATGGAGAGTCGGTCTCTTTTGCTCGCTTTCTTTTTGAAAAGATTTTTCAACTTCAGCAATAGAGGGTTAAAGCATCAGACAGCATCGCGGGGGAGGGGAACAAGTAGAAGAATATTCTGGTCGTTTGGCCGTTTGCCGCTACTACCAGACGTAGTGGTGGTGGCGGTGGTGATCATCACCATTGCGATCATCATCACTCTCATCACCACTGACTGACTACCACTACATCCACTGAAGACGATGGCAGCTGGTGACTGCAACAGGCAGAAGGAGAGAGAATCTCTGCACTGGTGCAATTCCACCACCACAGCATCTTCCTCTGCACTACTGTCACTTTGCCTCAAATTGCAGTGCCTCGCCCCCTTTCACTGCCATTTCTACCACCCGTCGTCTGGTATATAAAACCGCTCTCTCGTCTGGGCTGGATCACCCACTCGCCAGGCAGCCAAGTCTCCACTCGCCTCAGCAGGACGCCACAAGTCACTTGATTTGTACTTCCCTGTTCTCTCTCTAGTGCACCTTTCACCCCTTTTCACTACCCAAAGTAATTATTCCCTTTTGCTCCAACTACACATCTTTTTGCGCCAAATGCTGTTTGATTTTGTGTTTGATTTTTGATTGCCAAACACAAAACTAAACTTGTGTCCCCAACTTGTGTTTAACTTGTTGCTTTTCACTTGCTTGACACTTGCCTGTCATTTGTTCATCGTCTCACTTTTAACGTTTATTAACCTTTTTGCATTTTTGCTCTTTTTGTTGCAGACCCAAGCACAAAATGGCTTCACGTGGATGTAGCTATGGCCTTAGCGCCCAGGTTGCCAACAAGGTCAGTTTACTTGTCATTGTGAATTTCCGCTTTTTATCTTTGAACTTAATTTTCATTTAAGTTTGCAAGTTTTCTAGTTTTAAAGTAGTTTATATAACCAAATTAAATTTTATTTAACTGCAATTTGCAGCAATAAAATTTAATTGTTAGGGTCATATTTAGTTTGTGCCAGGAAAATTAACGTTCAAAGATTAACCCATTTTTATCCCTTCCTAGCCAATACCTTTTTGCTTACTTTTGCTTAATTTGCTTTGTTAAAACGGGTTTTCAAATTTTATGAGTCTGTATTTTACCAATTAAAAAGTGCCGTTTTCAGCTTTTTTACATTGTAGTTGCTTGATGATGATGATGAAAATTTGTAGCAAAGTGATAAATTTAGAGTAACTTGATAGTAACTAACCAGAACGCACATTCAAGCAGTTCACTACAGGACAAAGACCTGCATGTCAGCCTTAGCCGACACTTTCGGTCAAAAACCCTTTTGCATGTATAGATGTGCAGATTAGCCGACAACAATTAGACAGTTGTCCTTGTCTTTTGTACGTTTTCTTCCTTAGACTTTTCCTGTTCAATTCTATGATTGAGTACTGCAGCAACAGTCGTAGTCAGAGGCCTCAAAAAACAGCCAAGAGCTGAGCTTTCCACTGTGTGTGTGTTTGACCGAACAACGTTTTTGGTTTTGTGTATCCTAATGCAAAAGAAGAAAAAGAAGAAAAAGGAAAAGAAGAACAGTAAAGTTAGTCTAATAATAACATTAATACAGAGCAGTCAGTCTAATTGCTTGTAGTTCGTAGTTGGTTGTTTGTCTGCCAGTGTTCTTTTGGGGATTCCTTTCCTTTTCTTTCTTTTTCCTCTTTTTTTCTTACTTGGCGGTAATCATCACCGTATTGCTTCAGTTTGCCAACAGCTTGGCAGAATCAGCAGTAGTGGTAGTAGTGTTCAGTTGTTTCTCCCTTCTTGGAGAAGTTGATGCCAACAGGCTTCTAACAATTTGCCTTTGCCGTCTTTACTTTTGCCTGATGTTGGTGATGGGCTTTCAGAGCTGTAGTGAACGCCACAGGCAGAAGAAGGAAAAGACAGTCTGGCTAGTTAACTAACCATCGTCGATGCTTTCTCTTCGTTGTTGGCAAGCGCATTTGGCTAATTTCGACGGCAGCGGCGGCGGCGGCAGCATCAGTTTCGACTGATGCTCACTCCCCCTCGCACTGCTGTTTGCTTGCCTGTCTGCCTGTGTGTGTTGTACAGTGAACTGTGAGCTGTCAAATGTGTCCCCCTCTTCTTTTCTCTCGTTTTCTCCCGTTGGAGCACTACACTTGCACTGACTGGCTGGCTGTCTCTTGGAATGCATCCCATTTGCGGCAGTCTACCACACTACCGAAATCTGCCAGCTTTACCCCGAAGTCTAGCCCATAAGCTAGCTAGCTAGCTAGCTGGTAGCGCATTCACGTTCACTTTTTCGTTTCTTCCGTTTAAGTGTGTGAGAGGAGAAAAAAGAAGAAAGTGAAGAAGAGGAAAAAGTGAGCATCGAGGTGAAAAATGGCAAAATGTGAGCAGCAGCAGCAGCAGGGCTAAAAATAGTGCTTTAAAGATGCTTCCCCCGCAAGGCAATAACTGTAGTCTTAGCAGAAGCACCCTTTACCAGTCTACCAAATTTTGCCTATTTCTCTTTCTCCCTTTCTTTCTATACTCCCCCGCACATTAAATTCTAAAATTGGTGCCCCCGTACGTAGTTTGCCCAACAGTAGTCGGCTGCTGTTGCTAAGCCTGCCTGACTGCCTGTTGTCAAACAAGGCCACAGTGTGCAATGATAGAAATTCCAATTCACACTAATGAGCATAATGATAACTTCAGCCCTCTCTTTCTCTTCCTCCCTCTCTCTCTCTTTTTCTTTCCTCAATACACTTGTCAACGCCAGAATATATGATTATGAATTAAGTTGAGCAAACCCTGACGCATAACCTTGTTGTTGTTATTATTATTACTTTGTTTGCCACTATTTTCCCCTTTCTTTAAGCTTAAAACATTTATTCTTCTCTCCTTCTCTTTTTTCATCAGATCGCCGGCAAGCGTGACCCTCAGCTAGAGGCGGAGGTGCTCGGCTGGATTGAGGCAGTCCTCGGCGAGCGTCTGCCCTCGGGCACCTTCGAGGAGGTCCTCCGCGACGGGACCATCCTCTGTCGGCTGATGAACAAGCTGAAGCCCGGCTCTATTCCCAAGATCAACTCGCAGGGCGGGCAGTTCAAGATGATGGAGAACATCAACAAATTCCAGTCGGCCATCAAGGACTACGGCGTCCCTGACATTGACTGCTTCCAGACGGTGGACCTCTACGAGAGGCGAAACATCCCCCAGGTCACCCAGTGCATCATGGCCCTCGGCCGAACCGTAAGTGAAAGGATCGACTTTTTTTGCAACACAATTTTTTTACTTACCAATCATTTTCTTTTCTTTTTTCCTCTTTTAGTGCTACTTGCACCCCGAGTGGCCCGGTCCCTTCCTCGGCCCGAAGCCTGCCGATGAGAACAAGCGCAACTTCAGCGAGGAGCAGCTGCGCGCCGGCGAGGGCGTCATCAACCTGCAGTACGGCACCAACAAGGGCGCCAACGCTACCGGTCTCAACTTTGGTAACACCCGTCACATGTAAACAAATGGAGCAATGCCCAGAAGGCAAAGAAAAGGATGAAGAGGAAGAGGAGGACGAGGAGGAGAAAAGATGGAGCGCAAAACTAGTGGAGTGGATGAGAAGTTCGTCATGGGTCAAGAACATCCACAACAATTATGGAGAACATTCTTCTTTAGACAGGGGTGGGCAATCTGTCATGGGCAGTGAGCTCTAGTCAAAGTAGTTTTAGTTTTGCTTGATACCTTTTTCTATTATATCCAACTTTTTCCGTTCGCTTGTCAGTCCACCCTGTTTGAAAGGCTTGTCACCACTTTTGTCCACACATAACCAAATGCAAACACACCAGCCCATGTTTACTTGTTGCCCACAAACCGAGATTTGACAGCCACTCTTAGCCTTCACTTTTTTGCTTTTTCTTTTTTTCTCTTTCTTTTTCTCTTTGTTTTGCACCCTTTTCCTTTGACTTTCTACACTTTTTCTTACTGTACTCCTACTACCACTTTCTGCGTACCACTCACACACAGCCACTCCCACTCTGTTTGCCTCAAAACACCACTTTGTACCACCACCACCACCACCAACAGCAGCAACACTGAACCAGCACCAGCACACTTTTTTTGCCTACCCTTTTTCCCGAACAAGCACATAAAAAAGCATGCCTAACAGCGCCCCACAAAGTTGATCTGTTTACCTTTGTTACCGTTACTCTTTCTCTCACTTTCTACCAACTTAACTGACAATACAAATACCAGTCTCTTTTCATTTGCACTTGCCAATAACAATGAGCCGCAGCAGCAAAAACAATAACTTTTCTATTTCTAGTTTTACTAAACTGGAAATAACTTTTTTTCTTTTAATCATTAGAAAAATAATTTTAAGAAAATGCAGTAACTAAAAAAACTCAGACAATTACTAACAAGACAAAAAGTGATCGCAGTAATGACCCCGTTTTTCCAAAAAATCCGATTTTGACAAACTGCCTTTCGTTGGAAAGGTATTTTCGAGCTGATTAACAGAAAAATTGTCCCAAGTTTGTCCTCCAAACCGTTTATAAGATAATCGGGCCCAAAGTTGACCAAAATATGCAGTTTAGCAACAACACAGCTGCTTAACTCTGCTAGATGGCGTAAACAGCGACAAGTGAAGCATAGCCAAATGTACAGTTAGAGCCCGATTTTTTTGAAACGCCTTAGCGGACAAGATCGGGACAATTTTTCTGTATATCAGTATATAAACCTTTCTAACGGTGTGCGACTTGTAAAAATTGGAAATTTTGGAAAATCGGGGTCAGAGCCTATGGGCATTTTGAATCACTTTTTTGTCCTTTAGTTCACACATTTTTTACTTGCGCATTTCNAGCTGCTTAACTCCGCTAGATGGCGTAAACAGCGACAAGTGAAGCATAGTCAAAGGTACAGTTGGAGCCTGAATTTCTTGAAAACGCCTTAGCGGACAAAATCGGGACAATTTTTCCGTATATCAGTATATAAACCTTTCTAGCGGTGTGCGACTTGTAAAAATCGGAAATTTTGGAAAATCGGGGTCAGAGCCTATGGGCATTTTGAATCACTCTTTTGCCTTTAGTTCACACATTTTTTACTTGCGCATTTTTATTTTAATTTAATTAGTTAAAACTTTGTGCAAACACAAATAACAATTGGTATTGTAAATATTGCAAAACAGACAATTAAAAGCTTTATTCTAAGTTAACTAAAAAAATTTTAATAATATCAGTTTTTAACAACATGACTTTTTAAACTTAAATTTAAAAAATGTTCATGCAATATAAATTGTTTAACTAACATATCAACGCAATGAAAACTTGTGTTTTGGTTATACCAATTATTTAAAAATGTGCTTTAAAAATTAAATTTATGTTGCTTTAGCAATTTAAAATAAGAAACGTTTAGTTAAAACAAACATTAATTTATAATAAAAACAAATATTCAACATTACAAATTAAGAATTTATTTTAACTTAATTAAAAAATATTGTCTAAAAATTGATTACAAAATTATGTTAAAAAACACTCTAGTTGTCGTAATCTTTCTATTTAATTTAAAGGTATTGTCAAATAAAAAGGATTGTTTGCTTTTAATTAAAATTGTATTGACATAAAATTTAGTACGGTTCAAATAAAACTCGTTTAATTACAATTTTTTAATTTTTTTGTTAAAATTTTTGATNAATATCTGAAAATAATAATATCAAATTATTTGCGTCACAAAATTTTTTTTAAAAATTGCATAAAAAATCAAAATAATTTAAAATCAGGTTTATTTTCTAATCAATTTTTTTTAAATAATNATTATAAAATCATAGGGTTTATAACCAATAACTTTTATTAAAACAAAAACTATTGTTTTATCTTAATTTTAGCGAGCTACTTTAAAATATTTGAAAATAATAATATCAAATTATTTGTGTCATAAAATTTTTTTTAAAAATTGCATAGAAAATCAAAATAATTTAAAATCAGGTTTATTTTCTAATCAATTTTTTTAAAATGAGGATAAAAACAGCAAAGTGTATTAAATGATATCTAAAATTAAGTAAATTTGATGATTGTGTGACCATTTTTGAAGTGCATCTAGTGGCCTAATGCGTTGTTTGTTGTCTGTTAAAGTGTATGTTGATTAATCGGAATTATAATAAAAATAATGAGAATGATGATGATGATGATGATGTTTATAGAATGATATTAAAGTGTTAAGTTAAGTTATCAGACTTAAGAGTTGCCCAGTGTTGATATGACACAATTGACACATTAACTAAATTGCCAGAGAGAAAAGGCAGCCTAGTTTATCGCGCGCGCACAAGTGAAAGCAGTAGTTCGTACAGCACCTCAACTGATTTGCAAGAAGCTGATGAAATGGATGCGTTTAGTCAGCACCCCTGTTTTCACTACAGCATTTGCTGGTGCTGGTGCTGGTGATCCGGCCAAATGGGACCAAATCTGCTGCCGCCTGCTGCTGCTGTTGCTGTTGCCACCAGGCCACCAGCGCTGCCATTGTCGAGAAGTGAAGTACAGGAGACAATACTGTTGCGTGGGTCACGGTACCCGAATGGCTTTATGGTGGCCGGCGCTGCAGCATGGCCATTGGCAAAATGCATTTGCATGACATTACCACCAGCACCAGCACCAGCACCACCACCTCCATTGCCACTGTAAAAGCTGCTCTGATTGCTGCAGTGATTTAACTTGAGGATGCTCTTGACGGGCGGTCGGCTGAAAGTGCTGCTGTGATTGTTGTTGCTGCCGTTGCCGCTGCTTATCATCTGCCCAGCAGCATTACCAATACCAGCAGCAGCAGCAGCACTGACCATACCGCTGTTGGCGCTAGTGTGCACCAGCGAGAGCAGCGAAGTGTCGGTGGTCGGTGAGGAGCCCCGAGATGATGAGTTGGTGTGGTGAATGGTGACGATGTGACTGCCCACTCCTCCTCCTCCATTGCTGCTGCTGCTGTTGCTGGCACTGCTTGGCTCGTCCAAACAGCAACTCCCTCCGCCTCCCTCCAACATCAAGGTCGTCTCGGCGATGGCCACTCGGTGTCCACTGGGGCAGTTGTTGCTGTTGTTGTTGTTGAAATGGTGCTCATTAGATGTGGTGTGCACTGTTGGTCCTGAGCCAGAGGTTACATACATCATTCCACCACCTCCTCCTCCTCCTCGGTGATGGTTTAGCAGTGCTGCAGTTGTTGTGCTGTTTCCAATTGTGCTACCTCCCATCATTGCCAGTGGGGGACACTCCTGAGCCATCGTCTGGTACTGCGGCCCTTCAGTGGTCATTTTGGTGGCTGGTAAAATTTAAAAAAGTAAAAAAAAAGTTTTAAAATGCGGTTATTATCGATGATCACGAGTTTGTGCGCCGCCAGTGCAGTAGTATTAGACGTGGAAATAGTAGTGCACTAGTGGTAAAAAAAGTGAGCTGCATTTGACAACTCCGAAAACAAGAACTTATCAAATAGGATTTGTGTTTGTCAGATCTATGTGTGTTTTCCGCTCTGCTTCCTTTTTTCAATATTAGCTTGTTTGTTGGTTTTTTTACTGTTTTGATCCCAGACGTGCTAATAGCGCAAAGTGGATTTTTTGCTCTAAAAATAATTAGTTTACAGTAATAATTTACTAATCTCTTTACTTTTTCACGTTTTTCCCACTCTCATTGGCGCACCAAATTAAGCGTACAAGTGGGAACGGTCACACTTGGCAGTAGTCATTAAAGGCTGCTACTGATAGGATTAGGCAGGCGTTAAATTTGCTGGTCCCCTTATTGAGCGACTCTAGGGAAGGCAACTCAAAAGGCAAACAAACTCTCCGGCTCAAAAGTGAGAGGTGAATTTCACACATGCAAATCAGATTTCACGTTTGTTCTCAAGGCACGCACGCTTTCACACACACACACACTCTAGGTCTTTTTCTCTCACTAAATCTGGGCTCTTGAAACTGCACTTTGTGGGCAGTGAATTTTCTCTCTCTCTCTCTCTCTCTCTCTCTCTCCTCTTTCGCTTCTTGTAAGTGTTGGATTAATTGAAAAATAGGCTTTGCCAATGGGCAATTTAATTAGCAGTTCAACTACTACTACTACTGNACACACACACACACTCTAGGTCTTTTTCTCTCACTAAATCTGGGCTCTTGAAACTGCACTTTGTGGGCAGTGAATTTTCTCTCTCTCTCTCTCCTCTTTTGCTTCTTGTAAGTGTTGGATTAATTGAAAAATAGGCTTTGGCAATGGGCAATTTAATTAGCAGTTCAACTACTACTACTACTGGCAGCCTTTTCTCTCCAGTGTGAAGCAAAAGGGGGACAACAAAGAAGGCAATGGCGGCGCCGGCAACCACTACGACAACGGCGGCGACAATGGCGTCTGCAGTTGCGGCGACACTCGACACAAACTTGACTGCCACCTTACTCCTCTCTGACCGGCCAAATCAGTTAGTCAAAGTTAATGGCACACAATGCACAGTGTACTTCAGTTTATGTTATTATTATTAAAATTTATATTCAGTTTTCATGCAAAT